TTTCTTTGTTTCGCTATATTTTCATAATACGAGTAAGCCCTATAAATATCAGCGCCGGTTTCCAAGTTCTTATACGGCATCGAGATTGCGAGATTATTAAAATACGATATCTTTCACTCGGAATAGTAAAAGCTGATTTAAAATTGCGTTCACAATTATTCATTCGCTGTTATGAGCAATACAATACCGCATAAATTGCTAATGTATGTATGTGCGGAACAGTCTACGAAAAATAACACAGGGATGAACAAGGTTATGAGAAAACCCTATGCAACTTGGATTTAAATACAACTGCTTCGAGTAGCAAAGAAATATCGCAGTGCGAAGATGGGGGAAATGTCCTTCAGCCACGGGGTCTCATCTCTCCCATCGGCTGAGGCTTTTCATATCTCGTAAATCCTTCGAGAGAAAGAACGGATGGAACCGGCACAGAACGAAAGATCTCGTCGGCCAATCTAATAGCTTTTTACGCCTTATTACTCATCGTTGCGCTCAAGCAAGTAGCGGCGGTCGGAATAGGAAAATGTTCGCATGTAACACGTTCAGTCAAGTACGAACGGACCGGACGAGATTCGTCGGAAAAGAGGTTTCGAGCAGCGTGAATTCTCGTGGCAACTAATACAGCGGAAGGGAATGCGTCCGTAAATTCTCCGAACTTTTAAAAGACAAGAGCATGTCTCTGCTTTAATTTGCTCGCGCGAAGATGGAGGTGAGCGCAGCGCAGAGACGATCCATTGACGTGTAAAAATTTCGGCAAATACCATTGCGGATTCGACAAATGCGGATTTCAAGACGGAGAATTTAATATCTCTCGCTTAATTAAAGATAAAAGCGAATTTAAGCGCTTTCCTCGTGCAATCCGCAATTACACAAATTTTATAAAAATTATAATAATGTCATATTGTCTTTCACGTAAAGATTCTAAAAAGAACATCGAGAACTTTCTGCCAGATTTTATTTTCTTTTTAATAATTTCAAACAAATTAGAAAAACTGGTGTTTTAAGTATTGTTCTGTATTTTAGAAGCTCTGAAAAGTCACATTTAATTTATTTCGCCAACTATTATTATATGAAACGCTTCGTGTTACATTGCCATTTAAATATTTGCATAAAATAATTTAGATGCGTCGAGATCTTTGTCTTGAATTTTTCCGATTAGTGTAATTAGTGGAATGCATTCGATTGACGTATTACATTAGTGTCACAGAAATGGACGTGAATCGGGCGGAGGTGAGGAATCACGCCTTCTGCGGTCCGTTTGATCATGATCGTTTGACGATGGCACCAAAGAGACTTCGAGGAGCTCCCTAGCGAGAAGATAGACCGACGGGAATGGGAGAAGGAGGCAGAGAACCGAGCAGACGGATCTACTCGAACAAGCACCAAGAAACTGATACGTCGATAGCAATCGTCCTATCGTCAGCGAGCTACAGATCATCCGAATTACATGGAAACGCCACGCCTCGTTATCGATAGCTCGCAAATATCGTTGGTATTGTAATTGACACATTAAATACTGCGGGAATCATCGGTGACAAGGATGATCAACGCTACGATATAAATCGTATTGACACGTATGTAAAATGTAACCAACAGTATTTTGTAAGTTATTAACATCGTTGATCGAACGCAACAACACTAATTAAACATGTGTCAAAGATTAAATTTATTGGTCGTAATATGATCTTCATCAGTTTTTTCGCGAAATTAATCGCGAGAAATCCGCGCGAGATGTTTTAAACAATAACGGATAACGATAAAGATAAATTCTGATGCAGTTACATTTTTAATATAAAGCGCACAATGCAGTCCAAAAATACCATGGATATTTACGTAAATAGCCATGCTGCAATTATAATTGAGCGTTTTATTTTTCACATGCTGCATACCGAATTTTCATGTGTAAACGAAACCTCGCGACTACGCAGTCCAAATTTGCAAACTGTTTTTGAGCAACGTTTGCCGATAATGTTAGCAGACTCGCGCCTGCCGACTACTGTCCGCCGCGCCGATTTCTGCAATACGATCGCGTCGCGGTAGATTACAGGCAATTACGCCCGTCGTTCAGACGAATCGCAGTCGCGTGGTTGGAGGTCGGCACGGGGTTATTTGACGTCCCGGAGGGCAGTCCGGTGCAATCCAGAAACTTCAATATTTGATATAGGTAGACCCTGTATACCGAGGAGGTCTTCGAACTAGTTTCGCCGTGTACGGCTTGATGACGTGCAAATTGGGTTACCCGCCCACGGGAATCGTATAATTGAATTTCGCCAGGTGTCCTTATTATCGGGTACACCTTCAGTCGAGGCACCGCACGGCGGTTCGTCACGATTTTCGATGTCCGATCGCGCTGACGTATCTTTTTCCGCTGGAGCGAGTCGAATTAAGATAACGCGATTATCATGTTATACATAAGACTGCAATAAATAGACCACGTCTATTTGCAACGCGTGTACATCAAGTTTACGCAGAATATCCGCGAAACTAACTTTACAAATTGTTAATTTTGTTATCTTAATTTGTGTTAATGTCATTAAAGCGTCGAAAAGTCGGCGCGTGGAAAGAATCAATTTGCTCGAAATTACCGAAAAAAAAATCAAGAAATCCGAAAAACTGTTAATAATTATAAATAATCGTTCTCATCTTGTGCCAAACTGGTCGCACACGACACGAGTCCCTACTTTGTAGATTCCCTCTGCGCAGGAAGTCTCATGTAATTCTCCGGCGCCGTATGTACACCGCCTTCATCTACCCGGAAAACATTACTCTGACCCACTCGTACCTACAGGAAATATTATACGTATTTGCAGGATGTTTCCCTGTTGATAATCAAATTGGAAACTTGTTATTGCGCTTCCATTAGATTTTACCAAATTTTTGACATTGTTTGATTTATATCTGTCTTCATATTTATATTTATATCTATTCATATTTATTTCATATTTATACGTCAAAACGATTAACGCATAAATTGTTTTGTCAGTGATTTCGATAAATAAAAGTGCAAACAAAAATACAAATATAATTTTGTCTATACAAATATTTTTTTTACAAAAAATGCAACACCACACGAATACGCGTGCTTAAACAAGAGTGATACGTGTATTTCGAAAAAAAATTGAGTGTTATTATTTGAACCGCGAGATTGAGGTTCGGTAAATAATGTCGATAAACTTACACGCCGAGAATCGCTATCTTCCCGACGAACGCGATAAATCGTCGGCTGTGTGAGTGAATCGAGGCGATCCGGACACGAAAATGCAAGAATACAACGGCGTGGCAACAGCGAGCTTCTACGACATAATAAAAATTGACTTATCGCATTATAGTCCCTAATTACATAATGTAGTATGCATAATGGACGTTTCGCGAGAGCTCCGGGCGACCGGTTAACGACCACCAACTCCAGCGCCGCGCAAATACGAGCAGTCAATGTGGGGGTCGCGAGGGCTCGAAGGAAGAAGAACGAGATAGACGCGGAAGTAGGAGTGTCGGGGGCCATAAACTCGACGAGTATAGATAATGCTCGTGTATACAGCGGAGCGCACTCTTCATCCTCTTCTGTCTCCTCGCCGGATGAAGAGATGCAGCGGCAATGCGACGCGACGCGACGGGACGCGCCACGAAGACAAGCAACCAAGTGCTACGCGGCACAAGAATGAGAGTTCCAAGACTGCGTTTCGAAAGCTATTATCCTCTAGCCGTGAGACCGAAAAGAACGGAAGGACAAAGGAAGACTCCTTCGTGTGACGTAACCTTATTCCGTTCCATTTAAGTTAGCTCGGCTTCCACGGTTTCAGCGACGCTCGGCCGATTGCCATAACGACGCGCCACGGAAGATCGCCGTTCCGAGATTCACATCGCGACGCGCAACAGACTTCGTCTTCGCTAAAGCTAGCTATTACCGGGTTTTATCGCAACCTTTAACTTTTATATTAATAACTCGGTTATGACATAAAATCTGCTTATTATTTGTTGCAGCAAAATGTTGGATTTCTTCAACAATTGACTAACGAGAAAAAGTGTGCGCTTATCGAACTGATCGTTCGATTGTTCAAGAATTCAGCTAATTACAATTTTGGATTACTTTTACGTTGATTTAAATAAAAAATTTGCATAAAAGGGCTGAGAGAATTAGAACAGGATTACGTTCGCCCAATAGTTTAATTCTTTATGAAAAAAGTACACGTTTCGGTTATCGGATTTAGCCTTCTTCAGTGTACAGGTTTATTTCCGCACGTTATTGTGATGATTTCAATTTACATTATGATACGATAATATGTGTCTGGATTGCATCTCATTACCAAATCAAGGTTAATAATATTTATTCGAGGTCCGCATGTGCCATCATCTTCTACGTATCACCTTGAAATGAATCACATTGAATTTGGAAGTCATCATGTTAGAATGTTATTAACCTTGATTTAGTAACGAGATGCAACCCAGACACGTATCATCGTATCATAATGTAAATTGAAATCATCACAATAGCGTGCGGAAATAAACTTTTATTGTACACTGAAGAAAGCTAAATCCGATAGTCGAAATATAGTCCGATAGTCTGTACTTTTTGTATAAAGAATTAAATTATTGGGCGAACGTAATCCTGCTCTAGCTCTCTCAGCCCTTTTATACAAATTATTATTTAATAATATAAGAGCGAATAATATTATTATAGGAATGCGAATGTATGAGTGTATGTAAATGTATTGATGAACGAATGGAAAGAGTGAGCGGAAGAGATCTGATCGTATGTCGGAAGCGATTGAAGTGGGCGGTATGACGATATGTCAGCGCGAGAATAAAGCGAGAAAAAAAAACGCGACAACGGCGTAGACTGCCGAAGTCAACAAAGTCAGCCGAAGAAGCGTAAGTGTATGAATCTGTGAATGCATGTGTTTTCTATAAAAGCGGGCTTCCCGAAAGCCAAAGAAGAGAGTCTGAGACTGACTGTTGTAGAGTGCAGATCGAGCGAGATTATTATAAAGCGAGAACGTTTGTTAATTTCCATATTTGAACCTAATAAATCCCATATTATATATAGTTTGAATTGTTAAATAGAAAATTTTAGAAATAGTTTCAAAAATTTGCTCCTTTGCATCTATAAAAATCGATCAATGCCGTGATTTGAATGTTATATGATATGAATCTCGTAGTATGCATAGATTAGATAAAAAAAAAGATAACGCATGGTAAATTAACTATAGCTTTATTTTGTATCAATATAAATATCCTTTAGTATCCAAATAAGTGTACAAGTAGTTTAACAAATTTTTATTATTTTTATCATGTCTGAATTTATGTGTCTCGCGTATGATGATAAATTATACGTCCGAATTTATGTTCGTACGAAGATAAGTAATAATTTTTAAATTTTTATTCAATTATGATAAATGTACACGTGTTATATTTGTTATAAGAAATTGCGACAAAATCGAAACTGCAAATCAATGTATTATCAAGCTGCCTATAATCTCACAAAATGATATTCTAGTTTTCATTAACTCTGTTTAATTAAATTCGATATTGATCAACAATTGTAAAATAAATCACGTATATATTTAAATACATATTACTATTATGTAATTTATACGTGTTAAAAATAAATATAAGAGATAATATAATATATCGTCGCCAGTTCATTACATACACATAATTATGACAATTTAATTATCGCAATGTATTCGTAATGCATTAAGTTCAAAAATCGTTATTAATGCAATCAAAAATTTACGTTCTCAATATATTTCAACAAAGTATGTCATTTCAAAAGATAGTTAACAAAAAAAACCATAAAATTACATAAATTACAAAAATATATTAATGCAATATAATTGAAAAATTATTCTCTTTTCAATTTAATTGAATTAATTCGACTTTTCTTTTTCTGCTAAATAAAAAATTAATTAAGAAAAAATTAAACAAAAAATAAATCATAAATGTTATGCATTATCAGTAATGCAGATGTCATTTTTATCATTTCACTTTATCTAAAAATTACGTATGTACAGCTTATACCAATCAACAAAAACGTATATTATTTATCTCTCAGCGATGCAAAACACATGTCATGACTTTAATATCACGACGATTCTCTTATAGGATAAATACTCTGTTGTATCTTACAGACTCAGTCGTACGAAACCCACGGAAAGATCATCATGAATCATGAACCAGAGAAGAAGATCAGCAAAGTTATATGGCCTCAATGGATCGCTGGTATCGGAGGTATATAACACGACATCAATATTATAGTTTAACATCAATTAAGTATAATACTTATAAATATACAAATAGGCCAAAATTTTATTATATAATTTCAAAAACTATCAAAACGTGTAACTTAGATATACAGGATGTTTCATAATGTTCGTGCCAACGCTCGTGTGCGGGTAGAGTGCGGTAAACTGAATAGAAAAGTCCTTTACCGTTTTGCAATTTTCGCAATAATAATTGAGGTATTAATTAAAGAGAATTGACGAATAATCACGCGTTGCGCGCGGCTAAACCATGGGCTGTACACTCTAGGCGTGACAGCAACGAGGATCGCACAGCAACGAAAAATAACAACACGTATTATTCCTGCTCTCGCCAGCGTTGTTATTTTTCGTTGCCGTGCGATCCTCTCTGTCACGCCTAGAATGTAAAGTCCATGATCTAGCCGCGCGCAACGCGTGATTATTCGTCAATCCTCTTTAATTAATATCTCAATTATTATTGCAAAAATTGCAAAACGGTAAAGGACTTTTCTATTCAGTTTACCGCACTCTACCCGCACACGAGCGTTGGCACAATCATTATGAAACATCCTGTATAACAATACCTATATAACCATCTATATAACATTAGACATCTATAACGACAAAATTATTCATCATATTTAAGAGTAACGTCAAGAACAACCAATATTTTGCAAATTTCAGTCACTCTCCTAGCACTGGAAATAGGAATGATGACGGCTTGGAGCTCACCGTACATCGCCCATCTGACTTCGCCCGAATCTCAAATTCCTATGACAATGGACATGGCATCCTGGATAGTATCGCTTATAAATCTAGGCAGATTAATTGGCGCCGTTTCTGGAGCGGTCATCATGAATTATCTCGGAACCAAAACGACAATCCTCATCATTACTTTGCCGATAGGTCTCTGCTGGATTTTTACAATCGTGGCTAATCAAGTGGAGTGGTTATACGCGGCGAGATTTCTTGGTGGTATCGGCATGGGAAAAGCATTTAGCTTTCCGTTTTACATAAGTGAAATCGCAGATCCTAGCATCCGCGGAGCTCTAGTCGTTTTAGGTATGTGTTACAATTTTAAGTGCGTGACAAACGTTTAGAAACTTAAGAAAATTCCAGATGTTAAACGGTGCGCAATTAGTGAAGTTTGTTAAATTTTTTTAACTCACGATGTAAAACTATGTGTTTCAAAATCTAATCGCGAATATTAGAAGTGATAACAAAACTACGACAATAGAACTCCATAGATAATGAGTGATAAGATAAGATATAACATTGCAAAAAATATGCATTTGAAACTCGATAGAGAAGAATACGGTAAAAAAATTAAATACTGTATATTAAGAAGTATGAAACTTTCTCTTTACAGCTATGAGCGGATTATCGATAGGCAATCTAACGATGAGCATCATGGGTGCATATTTAAACATAAAAATCTCTGCCTGCGTAGCCCTTATCTTCTGCATTATAATGATGATCATTTTCATCTGGTTGCCAGAATCGCCGCATTATTTCATCAAAGTGAAAGCAGAAGATAAAGCGCGAGCGTCAATACTTTGGTATCATCGCGACTGTAACGTGGAATCTGAGTTACAAGCTCTGAAGAACTTCATTGAGACGAATAATAATCTACCTTTCATAGATACTCTAAAAGAGTTCAGACGTACGCATATCTGGAAAGCCCAGTGTCTTATACTTGTGCTCTTCATGTACAGTCAGATGTCCGGTATGAACAACGTAACCTTTTACATGGAAACGATTTTACGAAATGCACAAGTGACCGTCATAGAACCAGCAGTGGTCGTGATAATCACTACTGCTACTGGAATCGTCAGTTCCTTTCTCTCCATGTTGCTAATCGACAATTTCGGCAGACGTATCGTGATGATTATTGCCAGCTTAAACGTCACGTTTTCGCTAATCTGCTTGGGCACAACGTTCCAACTTCTCGACAAAGGCTTCAATCCCGCCGATATTCAGGCTTTGCCGATTTTTTCGATGTTATACTTCCAGGTAGCCGTCTTCATTGGCATTCTTTCGGTACCCGTCACAGTACTGGGCGAAATCTTTCCGCCGCACGTTAAATTCGTGGCCGGTTGCATTTGCGGCGTCGTAGGTGGAATCTTTGCCTTTATTTCCACGTCGACTTATCAACCCTTAGTGAATCTAATCACGGAAAAATATGTCTTCTACATTTATGCCCTGGGACTGATAACCGCTATACCGTTCACATTCTTTTATATGCCTGAGACCAAAGGCAAGACTTTGCAACAGATCCAGGAAGACTTGACGAAAAAAAATTGAGTCGATTGCATTTATCGAATTATTCCGATAAATTATAAGAAATTCGTAGTAGATGATAATTAAGTTTCCTGAATTCATTGCGAGAGGTTTTTCATGTGTCGTGTCGATGCCAGGTAATACAACTGCCACTGTTAATGATCTAATAATTTTCAATCTCTTGTAATATTTTTATTCTATTCAGTCGTTGCATTATTGAACGATTTGTTTTACGCGCTGACGAGATCGTTGTTTCTTTATTATAATTTATCTATTTATGTACGATAAGCATTTGACGCTCACAATTGATCTCTGAACGACGTCATACACCCAATGAACGTATTGTTGCAAAGTTTGTAATTGTACATAGATAAGCGTTTTGTACAAACCGATAAAAATATACATTTTTTGTAAATGTCTTCTCATTTGATATCTCCTTATATTCTAGCATTTTATTTTACAAATTTCACAAAAAATTATACTTTTTAACACACAATCTTGCTTTAGAAGCACGTGCTGTGATATATTTTTCATAAGCATATAAACATGTTTTTATTTTGAAATCAACGTTAGTACCTAATCATTAATGCTCAAAGATGTGTTTTAAAATATTTTTTACACTTTTATCATACCTGTGAGTTTATGCACGTGATATGAAGATAAATAACCCTTCCCAAATATTCATCTAACATGAGATAAATGTACATACATATGTATGTACATGCTATATGTATGATAAGAGATTGTGATAAAACTAAAATTGCTAGCCAATCCATTATCATATAATTTTTAACCTCACTGCTAAAAGATACTCTATTTTTCATTAAATCAAATTATATATTAATAAACACTTATAAATTAAATCATAAAAATATCTAAACATTTATTATTATATATTTTGCATTTGTAAAAAATAAAGATCCAAAAATATAAGAAGTAAATTAAAATATTAATACTAGTACATTAAATAAACATAATTATGACAATTTAATTATTACAATGCATCAATAATGTAAAAGTTGAAAATCATTATTAATACAATCAAGAATTGTTATATATTCGACATACTTAAAAAAAGTATATCATTTCAAAGCGTAGCTAACTAAAAAATCAAAAATTAACTATATCAAAAATATTGTATATGATATAATTGAAGAATTATAATTAATTCAATTTTTTTCCATACAACAAAAAAATATAATACCCACAATTAAAAAGTAAATCACAAATAAATTATCAGTAATGGAGATTCAATTTTATCATTTTACTTTATCTAAAATTATAAAAGTAATGTATAAACAGCTTAGACAAGTAACACATACATTATTTATCTCTCAGCGACGCAAAACACGAGTCATGACTTTAATGTCTCAACAATTCTTCAATACTGTTATATTCATAGACTCAGTCGTAAACGACCCACCAGAAGATCAGCATGGATCATAAGGCAGAAGAAAAGAAAATCAATAAAGTTAAATGGCCTCAATGGATAGCCGGTATCGGAGGTATGTAACACATATTTTGATCATTTGTATTAATATATTAATATTATCCATTTTAATATAAATATATTTTAATATAAATTAAATATTTTCTTTAGACATATTCATTAAATATAACAAAATTTTATTATGTGTTTTTTTTTAATGTATAGAAATCTGTGATTTAGATATAAAAGCTACATATATAATTTTAAACACGTGTAGAAACAAAATAATTCACTAAATTTAAAAGAGATGTTAATAAAGATCAACAATTTTTCAATTTTTAGTCAGTCTCCTATTACTGCAAATAGGAATGATGATGGCTTGGAGCTCACCGTACGTCGCTCGTCTAACTTCGCCCGAATCCCAGATACCTATGACAATGGACATGGCATCCTGGGTAGTTTCTCTTATAAACCTAGGCAGACTAATTGGCGCCGTCTCTGGTGCTATCACTGTAAACTACTTCGGAACCAAAAGAACGATACTCATCACTAGTTTGCCAATGGCTCTCTGCTGGCTCTTTATAATCGTGGCTAATCGAGTGGAATGGTTATACGTGTCTAGATTTCTTGGCGGTATCGGTATTGGGAAAACATATGGCAGCTTTTCGCTTTATCTAGGCGAGATCGCAGACCCCAGCATCCGGGGAGCTCTAGTTGTTTTAGGTATGCATTCTAATATGCATTGTGTCCATTTTCATAGAGTGTACAATTCGAAGAATGTGAAAAGTGTTTAATGTTAAAGCGATGTCATTCCAGTCGTAGATTTTGCAAATAAATATTTTTTTAATCACGATGCAAAACAATACTTTTTCAAACCTGATAGCGGATCGTACGAGTGATAAAATCAACAACAGTGTCTAATAAATGCATAAATAATAACTGATCAGATAAGATAACACTGCAAAAAATATACACATGTGAAATTTTGCAATCTAAAAAAATTAAACAATGTATGTCATGAGTGATTAAACTTTCTCTTTGCAGCTATGAGCGGATTATCAATAGGCAACCTAATAATGTGCATCATGGGCGCATATTTAAGCATGGAAGTCTCTGCCGGCATATCACTCGGCCTTTGCATTATACTAATGGTTATTTTCATCTGGTTGCCAGAATCGCCGCATCATTTCGTCAAGGTGAAAGCAGAAGATAAAGCGCGAACGTCTCTACTTTGGTATCATCGTGATTGTGACGTGGAATCTGAACTGGAAGCTCTGAAGAAGTTCATTGAAACGTATAATAACCTGCCTTTTGTAGATGTTATAAAAGAATTCAGATATACGCATATCTGGAAAGCACTGATTCTTGTGTTTGTGCTCTTCATGTACAGTCAAATGTGCGGTATGAACAATGTATTGTTCTACATGGAGACTCTTCTGCGAAAAGCACAAGTAACCGTCATAGATCCGGCAACTATCGTGATCATCACCACTGCTACTGGAATCGTCAGTTCCCTGTTGTCCATGCTTTTGATCGACAACTTCGGCAGACGTATTATGATGATAATTTCCAGTTTAAACATAACGCTCTCGATAATCTGCTTGAGCACGGCGTTTCAACTTCTTGACGTGGGCTACAATCCTGCCGATATTCAGGCTCTACCAATCTTTTCGGTGTTATATTTTCAGGTATCCGTCTTCATGGGCATTCTTTCGATACCCACCACAGTACTAGGCGAAATCTTCCCGCCGCACATTAAATGCATAGCTGGCTGTCTCAGCAGCATCGTGTCTGGAGTCTGCGCATTCATTTCCACATCGACTTATCAACCTTTGATAAATCTAGTCTCGGAGAAATATGTCTTTTACATATACTCTGTGCTACTGATAACCGCTGTACCGTTTACTATTTTCTGTATGCCTGAGACCAAGGGCAAAACGTTACAACAAATCCAAGACGATTTGATGAAAAAAGATTGAATCGATTCGAATACGTTTATTCTGACAATATATAGAAAATTCATGATAGACGATAACTCAATTTCTCGCGTTCGTTGAGAAAAATTTTTCATGATCGGTGCCAAGTAACGTTGCCGCGACGATTAACGGTTTGATAAATTGCAATCTGCTGCGGTATTTTTGCTCTATGCAGTCGTTTCATGTACAACGATTTCATCTACACGTAAGATGATTCTATTATAACGTTATCATCTGTTATAAATATCTCTGCTCGCACGATTGACTTCTGAGCAATACCTTTAATATCTCATCAGTATATGAATGCCAAGTTTGTATTTTTATGTATACAGATAGGCTTTTTACATGCCGATAAAAATATATATATTTTTTCTAAGTCTTCTTTTCTCTTGATACCACGTTTATATTCGAATATTTTGTGTCAAAGTTTTGTATTCAAAAATTAAATTGCGATCTTTCTATTACAATCAGATTTTAGAAATACTTGTGAAACTATTGTTCTCGTTGTTGGAAAATTACTTTTATGCCGAATATTACGTCAAGAAATTAAATTAATATATATTTTATTAGTATAAAAATAATATCTATATTGTATTTAATTATTGTATTAAAGTTTTACACAATTATCGTCAAAAATTATTTACTGAATTTTCCTATAGAGTACAAATAAACTTCTTAATTGGATTGTACAGAAAGAGACACAATTGTATACAAAACTTATCTATCTTTTGATTTACTTCCGAGCACTAAAACGCGTTTCAACATTATTATAGTTCAGTACAGATTACATTGTAGCAGGTCGAAGAAAATCTTATCCTGACTATGATATAAATATAACACGTTAATAATTAACGACGTTAGAAAATTTTAGGTAAAATAACCGCTGAAAATGCAATTATATAATTGCAATAGAGCCATATTGAAATCAGAGCTAATTTTCTGATTGAAGCTAATTAAATAAATCTGCTGAAAATTTTCAGCAATTAAATTTTCTAAAAATATTTAGCACTGCAAAAAGTATCGATGGAAAATAACAGTTATAGTATAAAAGCAATTGATTATAATAATTAAATAAGTTAAGAAATAATTTTAAGATTAAGTTAAGATAAAGTTCAAAACTAAAGTGAAAAAATGGAGCTACCAAAATGGAAAATATTCAAATTGTTAATCACAGTCTGTTAATAAAGATATTTTTCAGATTTGGAACTATATTTAATTTTCCTAGTTATATACTTTCTTATATCTCCACCTATAATAAAAATAAATTTTTAAAAAAGTGTTTTAAATTTCCCTATTTTGAAATAAAAATTAACTATTGATTAAATAAATAATTCGAACTTGCATTAATTTATGTTCAGATTAACTGATATTATCAGCAACATGACTTGAATATCATACGATATAAATCTTGTAGTTTGCATAGGCGAGATACAAAAAAAGCCTAAATCTCGGCAAAGAGATACATCATAGCATAATTTTGTTCAATGTCAATAGTATTTAAAATTTAGATTTGCATTTTGATTCATTCCTTTTTTACTTTTATCATACGTCGGAATTTATGTGTGGGTGTAGATAAATAATAGTTTCCAAATTTTTATTCAACGTATGATAAATGTATACGTGTCATATTAGTTATTAAGATTGTTAGTTAAGAGATTGCGACAAAATCGAAATTACAAATTAATACATCATCAAGCAACCTTTAATCTCACAAAATAATATTCTAGTTTTCATTAACTCTGTTTAATTAAATTAAATTCGATATTGATCAACAGTTATAAAACGTTTTTCAAAAAAGTAAATCATTTCAAAATTTAGTTAACAAAAAAAATAAATTACAAAAATATACTAATGCAATATAAATGAAAAATTATTTTATCTTTTTCTTTTAAATTTAATTGAATTTATTCGACTATTTTTCTTCTGTGCGATAAAAAAATAATTTGGCAACAATTATTCAATTGAACGATAAATCTCAAGTTTTGTGAATTTTCTCAGTAATAAAAATACCATTTTTATCAAGTCACTTTATCTAAAGATTAAGATTATTAACAGTTCACGATAGTCAAGAGATGCATGCATTATTTATCTTTCGGCGGCGCAAAACGCATGTCACGACACTAAATGTATGTCTCGACGATTCTCCAATAGAATAAATACTCTGTTATATCCCACAGAAGCTCAGTCGAAAACGACCCGCGAACAGATCATCATGGATCATGAGACAGAGAAAGAAAAAGTGAAAAAAATTAAGTGGCCGCAATGGATTGCTGGTACCGGAGGTGTGTGATACATATTTTGATTATATTTATATGTTATTATAATAGTTTTATATAATCTCAAATATTATTAGCTATACTTTTTAAATATACTGAGATTAAATATAACATAATCTTATCATGCGGTCTTTGAAATCTAATAATGTTTCAGAGAAATAAAAATCACTTACATAATTTTAGATACGTGTGTGTAAAGACAAAATTACTCATTAAATCTATAAGAGAAATATAAACAACAGCCAACAATTTTTCTATTTTTAGTCACTCTTCTACTGCTGCAAATAGGAATGATGTCGTCTTGGAGCTCACCGTACGTTGCCCAACTGACTTCGCCCGGTTCCCAGATACCTATGACAATGGACATGGCATCGTGGGTAGTTTCGCTTATAAACCTAGGCAGACTATTTGGCGCCGTTTCTGGAGCCGTCGCCGTCAACTACCTCGGAACCAAAACAACGATCCTCGTCACTAGTTTACCGATAGCACTCTGTTGGCTCTTTACAATCGTAGCTAATCGAGTGGAATGGTTATACGCGGCTAGATTTCTCGGTGGTGTCAGCCTGGGAAAAATATACAGCAGTTTTTCGCTTTATCTAGGCGAAATCGCAGACCCCACCATTCGCGGAGCTTTAGTCGTTTTAGGTATGCGATCTAGTACACATCGTGTCAATTTTCTACAAGTGTGTAACACAATTCAGAATGTGAGAAGTGCTCAATGTTAAAAAATCCGCAATGTTGAACTGTTCACGATTCTAGTCACGTAGTTTGCAGTTAAGTTCTTTTTTTTAAATCATGACGCAAAATAAGACATTCTAAAATCTGACAACAAATGTCGGGAGTAATAATATAATACCCGAGAAAAATGATGTAATATATGGTGTAATATGGTCAGATGTAAATATATATAATTAGTTATGAAAAGATCTAATAACATATGTAACTTTATATGATCATATAAAATTCAGATCTTTTCATAACTAATTATATATATTCACATCTGGCCAATTATACCATTTTTTCTCGGGTATCTATGACAGCGCTTAATAACTTTATAAATTATAAAATAAGATATGTCAAAAATTACGTCTAAAATTCAAAAAAGATATTTACAAAAAATTAAACCGTGTATATAAAAACCGATTAAACTTTCTCTTTGCAGCCATGGGCGGATTATCAATAGGAAATCTAATAATGGGCATCATGGGCGCATATTTAAGCTTGGAGATTTCTGCCAGCGTAGCTCTTGTCTTCTGCATTATATTGATGATAATTTTTATCTGGCTGCCGGAATCACCGTATCATCTCGTCAAGATAAAAGCGGAGAACAGGGCGCGAGCGTCTATACTTTGGTACCATCGTGACTGTGACGTAGAATTTGAATTGCAATCTCTAAAGAAGTTCATCGAAACGAATAATAGCCTGCCTTTCATAGATGTTGTAAAAGAGTTCAGATATACGCATATCTGGAAAGCACAGATGCTTGTATTTGTGCTCTTCGTGTACAGTCAATTGAGCGGTATGAACAATGTAATGTTCTACATGGAGACCATTTTACGAAATGCACAAGTGACCGCCATAGAACCGGCAGTGGTTGTAATCATAAGTACTGCTGCTGGGATTGTCAGTTCTATGATCTCCATGTTTCTAATCGACAAGTACGGCAGACGCATCATGATGCTGGTTGCCTGCTTCAACTCCGCCGTTTCGATGATCGGCTTGAGCACGACGTTTCAACTTCTCGACGCAGGCTACGCTGACATTCAAGGTCTACCGATCTTCTCGATGATATTCTTCCAGGTGGCCACCTTCATGGGCGTTCTTTCAATACCCACCGCAATATTGGGTGAGATCTTTCCGCCGCACATTAAATGCGTGGCTGGTTGTTTCGGCAGCATCGTGGCCGGAGTATTCGCTTTCCTCTCCACATCGACTTATCAGCCTTTGATACATCTAGTCACGGAGAAATACGTGTATTACATCTACTCCTTACTATTAATGACCGCTGTACCGTTTACAATCTTCTGCATGCCTGAGACCAAGGGCAAGAGCTTGCAGCAGATCCAGGAAGACCTGACGAAGAAAGGCTGAGTCGACTCGAGTGCGTTTATCGAATTATTCGGATAATTTATAGGACACTCGTGGTGGACGATAACTCAGTTTCTCGCGTTCGTGGCGAAAGGTTTTTCATGGTTCGTGTTGGTGCCAAGTAATGTTACTGCGACCATTAACGATCTGATAAATTGCAATCTCCCGCGGTTTTTTTTACCCTATGCAAACATTATACGTTCAACAATTTGCGCGCGAACAGTACCGCCGTTTTTCTATTATAGTGCTATTGCTTGTTATATATTTAACGCTTACGGTTGATCTCTGAATGTTGCCATTAGCAGCATCAGAGCATCGTTACAAAGTTTCAAGGGCTTTTTGCAAGCCGATATCACAATTTCTCATAAATGTTCGAAACGTTATCTTCGAGCATTTTGTTTGAAAAATTTGTATTTTGCTAAATAAAATAAACTTCTTCTTTGATACATTTTTCGATGTTTCTATTACAACTAAATTCTAGAAAAACTTTCAGCCATGTGTGATATAAAGTTATTTATATAAAACATTACATATAAAAAAATTTTATTAATTAAAAATTGTTTATACGTGTCTATAAACACAAAATTAATAATACGAAGATGTAAGTGAAAAAAGTTGATAATATAAAACATTGCTACACAATTTGCACGTGCAAACTAGGATGATTGTATACAGTGCGATGGGTAATGCAGTTTTAAATATCAAGCACAATATGCTGGTCTGAATTAAAAAGCGGCACCGTTGTATGTCAGAACTAGCATTCACGGCTGCTAGAAAAAAAACATAAATTCATTATGCACGTTTTTTCATCCACCGCTGAGATTTTCATTCTTATTCAACGCTTAATTTAAGTAACACAAATGTCATATAATTTTATAATGTGGTTATCAGACATAACAAAATTCAGCAGTGACACTATCCATTCTCAAATCAAGTTCGTATTATCGACAGATGTCACAACCAGCTCGCCGCGAGATCGACGTATTCCATCATCAAAAAATAATTTTGCCGTTAACTAGACGAAAAATATTCGCGCTAAAAAATAGTATGAAATAAACGAGTATCGACGAGTTCAATGAAGTGACAGCCAAAGATAACCATAATTTTCACGATAAATGCGCTCCTTGTACAAATAGCCTTCTGAAACTTATCACATTATTTATACAAATATCTAATGCGTCTAGTCACCTTTTGTTTCTACGTGTAATGCACATAACTATAAAAATAAGATCAACCGCAGAAATACAAACGCTGTAACTACGATTCCTATATCTACCATTTATATTCCTATCAATTGCGCACGTAATAAGTGGACTCGAAATAATAACGCCAAAAATGTTCGAGGCTCTGCTCCGATTATGGCCTCAATGGCTCGTTGCCGCAATAGGTTAGTATTAACTCCTCGAAATTTACTTGCACTTCAAGACCGTAATTTTATTCTATCTTTTGCGACATCCATGGTTCTCATAACTCTTTTTAATTGTTCTTCTTTAATTTAATATTTTTATATATTCCACGTGTCTTATTGAAACCAATGAGACGTGAACGGAATGAATGCCCCTCATCTCTTCCTGTGATACAACGCAATGTTGCATCGTAGTGACTCTGTTATGCATCAGTATCGGTCTCGCGGTCGGTTGGACATCGCCTTACTTGGCGCAATTAACCGGCGAGGACCCACCGTTTCCCGTAACGCACGAACAAGCGTCTTGGATAGCCTCTCTCTTGCCGCTCGGACGTCTCTTCGGCGCAGCCATCGGTTCTCTCTTCGTAGAATACCTCGGCAGCAAGATGTCTGTTCTGCTAACGGGATTGCCGATGATAGTTGCATGGATTTGCATAACTTGCGCCAATTCCGCCACGTGGCTGTACATTTCCAGAATACTGTCGGGTAATAGCGTCAATTATAGCTATTAACTGCCGGCGCGACGTGGAGAATAAATCGATTTGTCGATACGATTTTCCACGAGACATAATCACATCGGTTAAAAATCTTGTGTTTTAATAAGCTCTTTTAATTTTATGCCAATTGTGCAGAATTCTGTGAAACACGATTGCCATTTAACTTAGTCTCGAGCCTGTAATTATATCTGTCACGAAACTATGTCACGTTGATTAGGTGTATCAATGGGAATGATATTCAGCTGCTATCCACTTTATATCGGCGAAATTTCGGCGCCATCGATTCGCGGAGCCTTAGTAGGTCTAATTATCAACGGAATGCCTCTGGGCATATTGTTCGGCAACATAATGGGCCCCAATTTATCAATGATGTGCTTCGGAATCGTTAGTCTAACACTAACATTATGCTACATGGGTATCTTTCCGTTCGTGCCGCAGTCGCCGCATTACTTTATACGACGCAATGATATTAAAAAGTAAACACAATACTTCTATTTGTACAGTTACTTTACAAAGTAGATTTTCAAAGTTGTTTTCGGACTTTATTAATTCACGAGTTGTCAGTTAACTGATTCTGCCTCGAATATTGCAAGTGTTTTCCAAGCTAACAGTGATATCTTTATTTGCATAACTGATACGAATTAATAAAGAAACTAGATAAACATTCATTTAGGACGAATAATTATGTTCCATAAATTTTCAGCAATATTAAAATTGTTTTCGGTAATTGTGCAATGTGCTGAACAAATCGCCGATTGATTTAATATTATATAATTGTATGACATATAGAAGTAATGATATTTAATAATATATATTTGCATTTTATTTTTAAAAGTAGAAAAAAATATTAGGGATGGTTTGTTTCGCTTTTATTTTTCGAGAGCATCAATGTTTTCTTATATGTTTCCTTTTTTCAAATAAATCGGTTTTCCTTTTTTTTATTTACATATAAAAATATTAGATAAGATCATAAGAAGAATACTTTTTGTCATAAAATATTTCATATCTTATTCTGATATGTTCCAATCCTAATATTCTTGTTTTGACGGTTTTATGTTTTACATATAAAAAAGTGAAATGATTTAATTTAGATAAAACAAACACAATTGTCTTTAGTCTTCTATCTATTATTAACAGTTAACTCAGAAGCAAACGTATCGGTTATATTTAGCAGTTATTAAAACAGGTGTAATATTCAGGCAGAGTTGGTCTTTCAAAAAAAGAAATAGAGCGTGAGAGACATAGTGCGCAAAAAGTTACATTATTTTTATACTTGTGCAAAGAATGATCATCGATCGGCGATAAAAAAATAATCATAAAATATAAAATGCGACATATATTCAACATTTAAATATTATTTTAATAATATAAATTATGTTTTCGCGTATCAAATTGTTATAATATCATTATGATCTTAGAGCGGAGAAAGCTATTCAATGGTACCATCGAAAATCCGACTTAAGAAGTGAATTAGAAGCCGTGGAACGTTTCGTAAAGTCAACGTATGCAATGACTATAAGAGAACGATTGGAACAAATAAAGGAGCCGAAGAACCGCCGTGCTTTCGTAATAATAATTCTGCTGTTCATGTTTATGCAACTCAGTGGATTGAACACCGTTATATATTACATGGAGATTATTGTAAGAAAAGCGATGATTACATCGATTACACCTTCGTCCGTAGTGATTATCGTCAATGCGACTGGTATGATTCATTCCGACATCAATAATATTCATTTATTTTATTTCTATCTTCATTTCATATTTTTATATATTACTCAAATATTAATCAAATGTGAAATGATCTCATTTTAAAATTTTTGAACATGAATTGTCATATGTCAATCATAATAGACGTATATTAATATTTTATTTTAAAATAATGAAAGATCGATCATTCTTGCTGCTTCTCCGTTTTCCTTGTTCATGAATCTTTAATTTACTCAATTATTTATCACGCAGGTATCATTTTCGGATGGCTTGGCGCATACGCCATCGATCGCTGCGGCCGTAGAATCCTATTGGCGATCTCATCCTCCGGCGTCATAGTCGGCATGTGGTTGTTGAGTCTACATTTTTTGCTACTAGACTACGACTACGATCCCGGTGATCTCGAGTGGCTGCCCATTCTATCGTTGCTGATATTCATGCTAATGTGCTTTGGTCTCGTGCCGGTGCCCAGTACGATGCTGAGCGAATTGTTTCCGTCAGATCTGAAAAGTGCAGCTGGATTTGTCGCCAGCATCACGTCGGCGATATTCGCATTTATCTCCACTAAGTCATATCAACCGCTGGCGGATATCATAGGCGATCAGTATATTTTCTTGATATATGTGGCGATTATGGTAATCTGTGTGGCGTACTCGCTCACTTTGGTGCCGGAGACGAAAGGAAAAACATTACAGGTAATGTCTGTGTGTAATGTTATCATATTTGCATATACCCGGATAGGTAAATATTAGCAATGTTAGCAGATTGACGGTGAATGTCAAATTTCATATAACTTTTTACTTACTGGATAATTCTAATTGAATGCATTAATAAAGACTAATTAAATACCAATAGATTAACATTGAATAGTAATACAATAATATTCCTTCCTGTGTAACATCGTATAGATTGCGTCGAAAAAACAATCATAAAATTGAATTAATTTAATTCATTGACGCATAAATAATGTCTATTAAGTATATACATAATGCATTGAAAGCCATTGAGAGTTTCAAAAGTTTCATTTGTCTTAATATCGTTGTTTGCTAAAAATCCCTCTAGACATAAAACACAAGTAAACTTCTTAATTGGATTACACAGAAAGAGTCAAAACTATATATAGAAGCTATTTGTCTCTTGGTTTAATATCCGAGAAGCAGAAAGGGTTCCAGTATTATTATAGTTCAGTGTGGATTACATAATGTTATGGGTCACAGAAAGTTTTATCTCTTGGAAATGACGCGTTAATAATTAACGACTTTAATAGGAAATTCAAGATATGATGGCCGCGGGAAGTGCTACTGAAAGGTCGCAACAAGAAAGCCATGTCGAAAACTGACGATACTTTAACAAATTAAATTTTATAGTGGTAATGATTAGCAATATAATTATAAGAAACCTAATTAAGAAAATGTGTGTATTATACAAGCTTTTAATATTGTAGATATTGTTAGTATGCATGTTTCACACACTATTATAAAAAAAAAGATTTAATGTCTATTAAATATATATATACATAATGCATTGAGAGCCTCGTACAGTTTCAAAAGTTTAATTTGTCCTATTTTTGTTTGTTCAAAATCCCAACAGAAAATAAAGTTTGTACTATAAATTGATTGATTACGATAATTCAGCAAAATAAATTTAAGATAATAATATTATTAATGCCGCCATTTGATATAAATCTCGTAAGTTGCTAAGATTAGATAAAAAATGTTAATGTTTATTAAAATATATATCTCTTTATTTAGAGATCAATGTTAGAAATTTTTAATGCTCAAATATGCATTTTGATATATTTTGCTTACTTTTATCATATGTTTAAATTTATGTGTTCGATAAAAAAATAAATAATAGTTTTCAAATATTTATGCAACCAAATGATAAATGTGCATGTATCTATATTATACTTGTTATAAGAAATTGCGATAAAATCAAAGATGCAAGCCAAAAAATGTTAATGTTTATTAAAATATATATCTCTTTATTTAGGGATCAATGTTAGAAATTTTTAATGCTCAAATATGCATTTTGATATATTTTGCTTACTTTTATCATATGTTTAAATTTATGTGTTCGATGAAAAGATAAATAATAGTTTTCAAATATTTATGCAACCAAATGATAAATGTGCATGTATCTATATTGTACTTGTTACAAGAAATTGCGATAAAGTCAAAGATGCAAGCCAATGCAATACTGAATAACCTTTGATCTCAGAGAATACTTCATTATCATTGTGTAATTAAATTCAATATTGACTAACACTTGTAAATTGAATGATGAAAATATTTAAATATATATTATTATTATATATTTTATATACGCAAAAAGATAAAAATCTGGAAATATGGAAATATGGAAATATGGAATCTGGAAATATAATAATACATTAAAATCTGCAATCAAGAATTGTTACTTTTTCGTTACGTTTCACAAAAATTATTTTAAGAGATAATTAAAAAAAAGTTTGCAATTAAATTTCAAAGTAAGATCAATATAAAACAATTGTAGAAGTGTTTCAATTTTTTTTTGTTCAGCGTAATAGGAAAAAAAATTAGTTTGCAACACAAACGATACAACTGAAATTACATAAAAATTCACAGTAGTATAAATATAATAAAAATGTCAGTTTTATCAAGTCATTTAATTTATCTAAAAATTACGTATTAATAGCTCACGCGCGATAATATGAGAACCCACACATTATTTATCTCTCAACGACACGACATACTTCTCGCAGCTTGCAATCGTCTCAATGATTCTGTAATAGAGCAATTCTGTAATAGAACGAATATTGTGTTTTACGCAAAAGCTCAGTCGTAAGCGACTCATGGAGGGATCATCATGGATCGTGAGACAGAAGAGAAAAATACCAGAAAAGTTCAATGGCCTCAATGGATTGCCGGTATTGGAGGTATGCTACACACGTATACATTATCCATATTAAAATACTAATATTATATATTTTATTATCAATAAAATATATAACTTAAATATATATCGACTAAATGCATCGAGATTTCATTGTGTGATTTTTGAAATGCATTCATATTTTAGACAGTTGAAAAACTATCGACATAAATGTTTAAACATGCATGAAAAGAAAAATTTTTCATCAAAACTGTTCCATCACAATCCATCAAAAATACAAACAACAGCCGACAACAATCATTTTTCGGTTTTCAGTCACTCTGCTGCTACTACAAATGGGAATGATGGTGGCTTGGAGCTCGCCGTATATCGCTCATCTAACTTCGCCCGAATCCCAGATTCCCATAACAATGGACATGGCATCCTGGGTAGTTTCGCTTATAAACCTAGGCAGACCAATTGGCGCCGTTTCTGGTGCTGTCGCCGTCAACTACCTCGGGAGTAAAAGTACGATCCTCATCACCAGTTTACCGATAGCACTCTGTTGGCTCTTTACAATCGTGGCTAATCGAGTGGAATGGCTGTACGTGGCAAGGTTTCTCGGCGGTATCAGTATGGGAAAGACGTACAGCAGCTTTTCGCTTTATCTAGGCGAAATTGCGGATCCTACCATCCGAGGGGCTCTAATTGTTTTAGGTATGCGCTCTGATACACTCGATGTCTAATTTCACGTTTTCCGAGCAGTACAATTCTATTAGCGTGAAAAATGCTGAGAAATTCCGGGGTGTTAAACGATTGTCGTTTCCAGTCGTAAAATTTGCAAATAAGTTCTTTTAGATTACATCACGATGTAAGATAATGCGTTCGGCGGCCTGAGATAGCGGATATTACGAGCGATGACGTCTACAAAAGTGATTACACTGATAAGATACAACACTCCGAAAAAATATAATTATAAGACGCCAAAAAAAACTTTCAAAAAAATGAAGTCATGCATATCAACAGTGATTAAATATTTCTTTGCAGCAATGAGCGGATTGTCGATAGGTACCCTCGTGATGTGCATCATGGGCGCATATTTGAACATGAAGATCTCTGCCGGCATAGCCCTTGCCTTCTGCATTATATTGACGGTCATTTTCATCTGGTTGCCGGAATCGCCGCATCATCTCGTCAAAGTTGGAATGGAGAAAAAAGCGCAAGCATCGATACTCTGGTATCATCGCAACTGCGACGTGAAATCGGAATTGCACACCCTGAAGAAATTTCTCGAGACAAATAACAGTCTACCTTACGTGGAAGTTCTCAGGAACTTGAAGTACCCGCATATCTGGAAAGCGTTGATTCTCGTATCTGTGCTCTTCATGTACAGTCAGATGTGTGGTATAGTCAGTGTCATGTATTACATGGAGACTATTCTGCGAAAAGCACAAGTGACCGTCGTCGAACCGGCAGTGGTCGTGATCATCAGCACTTCTACCGCGATCGTCAGCTCTCTGATCTCCATGCTTCTAATCGACAAATTTGGCAGACGTATCATGATGATCGTTTCCAGCTCAACCGTCGCGCTTTCGATGATCTGCCTGAGCACGGGGTTTCAACTTCTCGACGCAGGCTACGATCCCGCCGATCTTCAGGGTCTGCCGATCTTCTCGATGATATTCTTCCAGATTACCATCTTCATCGGCGTCCTCTCGATGCCCACCACAATACTGGGCGAGATCTTTCCGCCGCACATCAAGTGCGTGGCCGGTTGTTTCAGCAGTATCATGGCCGGACTCTTCGCCTTTATCTGCTCATCGACTTATCAGCCTTTGATAAATTTGCTCACGGAAAAATATGTGTTCTACATCTACGCCCTGCTGCTGATAACGGCAGTACCGTTCACGCTGTTTTGCATGCCCGAAACCAAGGGCAAGACATTGCAGCAGATCCAGAAAGATCTGTGTCGAAACGAGTGCGTTTATCGAATTGTTCCGACGAATAGTTTACGAGAAACTCATGGTGGACGATAACTCATTTTCTCGCGTTCATTGTGAAAAGTTTTTCATGGCTGGCATCGGTGCCAAGTTTACGCTGCGGCGACCAATAACGTTCTGATAAATTGCAATCTTCCGTGAATTTTTATACGATGCTAAACCAGGTGCTAGATTACACTGTCGCAAAATAGAGAGCGAGAGAGAGAGAGAGAGAGAGAGAGAAAGAGAGAGAGAGAGAGAGAGAGAGAGAGTAGTA